AAGTAATAATAGCCATGAAAATAATAGCACTCGGCATGAAAAACGCTGCCCCTGCAGCGATGTGTAAGGGAAAAAAAAATTCTGACTTAAAATCGCTGCCACAGCAAAAAAAAAATTTCTTTTACAATGGCAGCGATTTTTAATAATAATAATAAAAACAAAATTTAACAAAATCGCTGCTGTGGCAACGATTTTTAATTTAAAAAAATTTAGACGAAATCGCTGCTATTTCGTCATTTTGTCAGAGGAAAATCGCTGCTGACGCAGCGATTTTGCCCTTTTGGCTAGAATAAAAAGTGATGTGCCCTTTTGGAATTTTTGACAATTTTTTTTGCCATTTAGGCTCCGGACTCTACTTTCTTATTAAAGACTTTAATTTGGATAGTGAAATCATATATAGATTTGTTTTTCTAAGGAGAACCTATAAATATCCTAAATTAATATTAATTTATGATTCAATTACTACAACAACAACAACCATACCCTCAATCCAAAACAAATTGGAATCAGGTATATGAATCCTCCGTGAACCTATCGTACTTATAAATTGCAATTTAGGTGCCTCTAAAGATTGTAGTGAAAGGTAAATCAATACTTTTTCATCCTTAATAGATTAGTAATCTTTTTACACCTCCAATTCGACACATAAGTGAAAACTCTTTTTTACATATAATACACACATGCATATTTGATATTTTATATATAATACACACATGCATATTTGATATTTTAATATGTATATAGGGGGTCTACAAAAAAGTCAATGAATTCGTCTGAACCCCTGTCCATTAGAGTAGCTTCGCCCCTGTATACATGATCTTATCTCTATCTTATTAAGTTAAGAGATTGTTTTCAAATTAATTGATATACGTATTATTTTAAAAAAAAATTGACGATAGTTGAATGTAACTTGTGTGGATATTTCGACTATTCATTTATACAATTTTTTTTGCTCTATAAAAATTGAATAAATGAACAAACATTTACATCAAAGATGCAATATTACTATATCTTGATTAAAATTATATTTGAACAAAAAAAGACAATTTAGAGTTTAAATTCACTTCATGTTGAGTGTCGGTCCTTATCATTCTATAAATTACTAGATTGATTAAAATTAAGGCACATATAACTAAATTTCAATCATTTTGAATTTGTTCGTTTTATTAAAAATTCATGTTTATATGACTAAAATTCATCAATATTTGTTCGAATACATGTATATATATATATATATATATATATATATATATATATATATATATGTTAGACCCCTATATATTATATGACTGAAGTTTGCAACCCAAAAATCTATTTTTACTTGAATTTCGATCACTTGATGGGCCTAAAACAAAAATTTAATTCATTGAGTAATTAAGCCTATCCCCCCAACAAGGCCCTTTTATGGTTACTCTGTCTCCATTGTAGGATTTTAGGGTCTATCACAATTACCGCATAAATCCTCTTTCTATTTGCAATGAATTACATACTATCTTTCTCTTTTGTTTATCAAACTTGTTATATTTTTGGATTTTCAAATTTAAGCGGTCAAAAATATCGAGAATTATAGTGGTAATTTTCATGTCGTTTTTAAGCAACAATAAATAAACATTCTTCTCATTTGGAGAATCACTAGCCATGAAAGAAAATTAAGAGAACTCTAAATCAAGTGAGTTTTACCTTAACTTTTAAAAACTAGAAGACAAAACTAATTGAAATTTATCTCAGAGACATGACTTTGATAATAATTAGATAGACGAAAACCTCAAATTGTTGTGATGATGTCTCAAATTTCAATTTAAAAAATTTAATGGTGAAATTCGTGGTGCAGAGAAGGAAGAAAGAAGAATACGATGACGGAGATGCAAGTTGATGAGAGAGTTGATTAGCATGAAAGCTTGAATTGGTGATGTTGTAATTGTGCAGATAACTAATTTTAAGATATATGGGTATCTAATGATATATGATATAACTTATAGATCTAAGTCTTCTCGGGAGCATTTTTGATAAGACTCCACATTCTAATATTCTCTATCTAGATTTTTACCTCAAATCTCTCCACTCTCTCTGTTTCCACCATTGTGTCTTACGGTTCTTAATTTGATATTATGATTGATGCTATTCGTCTATATGGTTGATCACGTTACATGTGCTCCCAGATATATTACCTCTTCATTATTGAACGGAACGTCATTTGTGCATAGGTGGGAAGAGAGGTTTTTCATATCCAAATGGAGTATGCATCAGCTTGTTTATTTTTCAACTCCACTTGAATTGCTCTATGATCTATTCTCCATTTTCTCTCTTCCTTCCATCTTCTGTTTATCGGGCTCGGGCGGTTTTTCTGCCAGGTTTCAAATCTCCACCGCCGCTCTATGGATGGTTCCGAAAAGATTCTTCTTGAATCCATGGAACTTAATGAATCAATTGTCGGATCAAAGTTCTTTATTGTCCATTCATTCTCAATTCTAAATAACCAAAATACAGTTTATTTATGTATTCATTATTTAGGTATTCATCCTAATTGCATATGTAAAGCAAACCTTCTATTTTATTTTGCTTATTTTGTATTTACAATATCACTTTGTATACCAAATAGTTTATATTTAGATTTGATTTTGTATTCGGCCTAATGGTATACCATCAAGTTTTGTATTTATATTTGATTTCGTATTCATTCTCAATTCTAAATAACCAAAATACAGTTTATTTATGTTATATATGTATTCATCCTAATTGCATCAGTAAAACATATTTTGTACTTTATTTTGCTCATTTTATATTTTCAATATCACTTTGTATACCAGATAGTTTGTATTTAGATTTGATTTTGTATTCATTTTCAATTCTAAATAACCAAAATACAGTTTATTTACGTATTCATACTAATTGCATTAGTAAAATAATTTTTATATTTTATTTGGCTCATTTTGTATTTTCAATATCACTATAGTTTGTATTTTGATTTGAATTTGTATTCGTCCTAATGGTATACAATCATGTTTTGATTGTATGGTCTAACTTTTCAATTGAAAAATGAGTATTTATCGAATTATCGTGCTCGTTTTGTATTTCATTATCACTTTGTATTCCATTCTCAATTTGAAACGCCAAAAGAATTTGTATTACTTTATTATTGTGTAGTCATCATTGTAGGTCACTCCCAATTTATATTTCAATTACATTTTAAAATAATGACACACAAAATCATATTTAAACAAGTTCATCCGAATACATAATTCAGATAAAATCATATTTAAAGAAGTTCAAACAAGTAAGGATAAAAAACTAAGGGAAATATTTTTACCTTTTTAAAAATATTTCCTCCCATGATTCTCTTCATTCTGTTATTAAAAATTTGTATTCTTTCCGATTAAATAACAAATAAATACAGTCAGGATTATAACAAACCAAAATATTGATATTTTAAATAAATATTGAAAGTGTTGACAAGGAGTCCTATTAAAATATTGCTATTTTGAAAAATTTCCTTATTTTTTACTTGAATTTCGACCACTTGATGGGCATAAAGCAAAAGCCCAATTCATTGAGTCAATTTGGCCTACCACCAAACAAGCCCAACAAGGCCCTTTTATGGTTCACCCTTTCTCCATTGTTAGTCTTTCTCTAGACTGTAAATTCCGCCATTATCGTTAGGGTTTAAGAGCTCCAACACTCTTTCGTCTTCACCAAAACAATGACAACCTTAAACCCAGTTGGCTCTAGAACAAACCCATTTCAGAAACAGCTTCATCATCATCGTCCAATTTATGCTAAACCAATTTCTTGTCTCACCTTCAGAACCTCACCTCCACCATTTTACCCCTCCACCATTAAAGCCTATTCTTCTTCTTCACAAAATTCTAAAAATCCCAAAACCCCTTATCCCTCAAACCCCTAATGAAAAACCCCATAACCCATTTTCATTCGTTAAGCCAACACTCATTGCTACAATTACTGCCACTACCCTTTTGTTCGCAAGATACTTTGTCTTCCCGAAACCTGCACTTTCTAACCAAGCTTTTACTCCGTCGGCTATGGAAACTGATGTGGTGAGAGATGCAATTTCAGAGGAGGAAAGGGAAAGAGCAATTGAAGAACACCTGGTTTTCTCACCCGGATGATGTGGAAGCGTTAAGGATTTTGATGGAAATTCGGATAAAGAATAAGAAAATGCTGGATGCTATTAACATTATTGATAGGTTGATTGAGCTCGAACCGAATGAGACCGAATGGCCCTTGTTGAAATCTCATTTGTATGTGAACTCTGGGGAGATTGAATTGGCCAAAGTTGGGTTTAATGAGATACTAAAGAAAGACCCTTTTCGTGTCGAGGCTTATCATGGACTCGTTATGGCAGCTTCACAAGATGAATCGATTGAGGAATTGGCGGAAATCGAGAAGAAGGTTGAGGAGGGCATTAAATTGTGTAAGAAGGAGAAAAAAAAAAGTGACTTGAGGGATTTTAAGCTGTTGCTTGCACAAATTCGGGTGATAGAAGGGAAATATGAAGATGCATTGAAGGTTTATCAGGAGTTAATGAAAGAGGAGCCTAGGGATTTCAGGCCTTACTTGTGTCAAGGAATAATATACACATTATTGAGGAAAAACAAAGAGGCTGAGAAGTGTTTTGAGAAGTATCGGAGACTTGTACCGCAAGGGCATCCCTATGCTAGGTATTTCGATGAGAACATGATTGCAACAAAGGTTTTTGCACAGAGGGCGGAGAATGAGAGAGCTAGCTCAAAAAGCTGAATAGAATAAGGCTTCGGTTCTGCTGAAGTTCAGATTGGATGGTAGAGGTATGGTGGAAATTATTTTGCTCTATTTGTTACTAGTTACATAATGGTTTGAGCTTAGTAGATGTTCCAAATAAGTTTGTCTGGTTTGCATAGGTTTATTGTTATATGAGTTGTGGAGTAGCAATTAGGTTCAGAAAAAAGGATCTTTTTTTTGTTAGTCAGAGGGGAATGGTGCTAAGGCTCTTTAATAATTTTCAGCAGGTATCTGAATCGAACGACATGTGATCATAGTTCATTTAATCAAGAATGGAAGTGAGAACCATGCTTTGTGATTTTTTCTTTAATTCTTTTGAAACTTCCACGATATGTGTTTGATATGAGCTGTCCTTTTACAAAATGAATGCACTTGATATGTGTTGTGATGTTGAGATGGAAGAGACAGACTTACACAGCCAACTTTGCTGCATAGAGTATTATAGATGTAAAGAGCTGTTTGAGGAATGACTCTGCTTCATTGTCAACGTTCCGGTTTCCTCCATCAACCATTGAATGCTTGATTGGTTCTAATCGTGATTGCATCTTTTAATCTTATTATGGCTTTAGTAGACAGTTTTATACTTCACCCCTGTTCTTCTTTTGCAACTTTAACCAGTTTTGAAGCAAGTCTAATCATTAGTGCATTAGGATATTTTATAGCGCTTGAGTTGTCTGATAAAAGCTGTACCATACAACCACATTTGATCCTAGCTTTCAGAAGTGAATTTACTATCTTTGTAGTTAGAGATAACCATGACTCATGACCGCTAGATCAGGTTTGGGATCCTAATCATTGGATAGAGTTGAAAGAGAACAAAGGTAGCGAGCACAATTTGAGATGGGTCAAGGAATACTTGTCATTGCAGCCATTTCCTGTAGTATGAGTTGTTGTTAATTCTTTATCAGTTATTATGTTCATGACTAGAAGTGGTTTTGTGTGGATAACCAGCAACCCGAAATATGTGTTGCTCCATAAATATCTTGGAGGATTATCTTCCGACAACAATTTAGTAATCTGTCCATAAAGATTGGCAGATGGCAGTTAACCTGTGTAGATGAAGCATACAACTGATATTGTTGGTCCCGCTTTATTTGCCAATACTCGGTGCTCAACATTTGTGTACTTGTCATTTGATATAAGCTGAAAAAAGCAACAAAAATAACCATAAATGATATCAGTGCCAAACTAGCTAGGTGGTATATTAAACTCTTATTGATTGTAGTTGTTTAGAAAAGTAAAAGAATACTAGCCTGCAGGTGTAGGAGGAACATTAACCCATTGATTCTGGTGAAGCACTTGAAGTCCTCCTATAGGATCTTGTAGAAGCACTGTGATAAAATCATTGTCAGAATGTTTGTTGGTGCCTATCTCGAGTTCTGGCTGGGGAATGCTGGATAGTAATGTCCCAAAATACCTAGCCCCTCCGCGCAATCCATATCCTTGAGATGGCAACGATTGAGACCAAGACCTTCTGACAATAATTCAAGTAAGGAGCAGCTTAGTTTCATCAGATCCTTAGAGTACTCCATTAGTATTTCCTGCAGTAATTTCAAATAAAATTTGATGTAATGCCGCATGTTGATATTTGAAAAAAATTAAGTATACTCAATTGGCTCAAAGGGACCATACTTCTAGTTGAATTACTTAGTTCTCCAACAATATCCACCAAAACTCACATTAATCATAAATCAGTTGCAAGAAAGCACTTAACCATAACAACATAAATCATGGTTTGCTGTTGATTTTTGTCATAAATGAAGCTGGTTGGTTTTCTAATACATGTTCAGAAACCTCGAAACATTTTGATCCCAATCTTCAGGCAAGTGAGGCTTGCTCAAGTGGTTGAGCGTCTCCACCATCAACTGGTAGGTTGAGGGTCCGAGTCACACTCGAAGGTAAGTGGGAACACTAACTATTGATCCTCTTGGGGGTGGGGAGGGGGAAAAAGTTCATGTTCAGAACATCTACCCGCATGCTGTTGGCAATTCTTTTGGACTGGGAGGATCAGGAGCCATTAAACAGAAAAGTGTGTCTCCCCAATTTGCAGCTGGAACAGAAGGGCTATACAAATCAAAATTGCTAGTATCAATCACCCTTTTCGTAGTATCTCGAGTGTAGTACTGTTTCTTAGCCTCAACATCTTGTTCAAAAAACTCTCGTGTTCCTTGCAGCATTTCTTCCCAGACGGATGTTGGAATCCCATTTTTAACCACTTGGAAGAAACCCCACGTCTCTGATGCATCTCGAACTTCGTCCACAATCTCTTTGTGTTTGATTGGGTCCTCGTCGATGCCTTCAAGGTCTATCAATGGGAAAATGAACTGTGTTTCCACGTGTATCCGAGGACTCCAGCCTTTTTTTCTGTGGTAGAATGAATATTTGAGGTACCTTATCGATTCCAGCATCATCAAAGGTTTTTAATTCACTCATTTTGTCATAACTTTTCTTAACTGTGACCTGAAAATCATTAGTGCTAGAGACCACCATCTTCTTTTTAGGATGTTATGAACTAAGGTCACTTAGTATGAGTTGTCATTGCAGTCATTTCCTGTAGTATGAGTTGGATATCATGTTAGCCACCAGAAACATGTATTGCTCATTAGTTCTTATTTTGTAGTACTATTTTTTTTACTTGTTTTATATTGGTGATTCCTTTGGCACAAACGTTGCTGTTAGTTGAGTCTTGACTCAAAGTTGGGTTATCCTAGTAGCACATTCCTTTGCCATTTTGGGATGCTTGTTTAAGTCCATAAAGGGACTGATTCTTACCGGTAAGCCAGATGCTTCGCGAACCCTATTCAACTTTAAGGCATTTCGTTGCACTTTAATCACCCTCGTGAAGTGGCGCACTCCGATACCATTGATGCCCAATAGCTTTTATAGTAATGGCTGGATCTGAGTTCTCCCCTGTGGAGAATATCCATGAAGGAGAGACATGTATACTTCCTTTTGGAACACGGTAAGGCTTTACGCTCCAACTCACCTTCGCAACTCTAGGTGTCATCGCACTCAAGTTACCATTATTTTTCCACTGCGCCATTGGAGAAGCTAAATTTGCTCTAATCTAAGTGTGTGTCCGCTCTTGTTTGGGTTCACTCAGCAGAAAGCTAACTCTCTTCTCAATTTGACATTGACTGCAAATCTTGTTTTCCTTGTTATAGCCTAGCCTTCTGTTTATCAGTTTAGGTTCTCCACAGGTTCTTCATCTTCTGTTCATCTAGCTAGGTGATGCTTGATGGGGGAGTGCCTTGATGATATTTCCCTTTTGCGCTCTTTTTGCTTGTGCGCACCTCGACTAATTAATCAAGTATCCACTGCCTCTCACCAGCACAAGTGCCAGATAACTTCCTTTTTATTGTCATGTATTCACTTCATATCGAATGATCTCGTCAATCATGATTTTTTTGCTAAAATGATTTATTGAGAGATCGAAAAAGATACGAAAACTCTATTATCTATATTTGAATTTCAAAATCAAGATTTAGAATTTGTTTTCTTTAAACTGGTGATATATCTCACCTAAGGGTGTGGCTTAGTGGTCAATGAAGTGGGTTGGGAATCACAAGGTCTCAGGTTCAAATTGAGGCAAAACATTAGGTGACTCTTTTTTCCATTTGCCCTAGTATCTGTTGTTGCTGTGATGTAAAGTTGATGGAGAGAGGTAACGAAGTATCCTATGGAATTAGTTTAGGTGTGTTATTTGGTTAGTGTAAAATCCCGTTTGTTTGAATTAGGCCTTGATATAAACAGCAAGTTTTGTCATATATATAGAGAAGTCATTAGTTCTCTTTCATAATTTTATTTCTTTAATATATGAGAAATTTATAATTTAATAAAGAAAAATCTATTTTTAGGTTCAATTTAAAGTGGATGTATCAAATTTTGGTAAAGAAAAAGTGAAAGTAGAGAAGAAAGACGGTATTGAAGTGGAAAAAGGAGACAAGTTAGAAAGGGCTGAGAGTGAATTTTCTCCCCTACATACCTTTTTGCAAGTTAACTGAAATTTTATATTTTGAACTTAATACTTAATAGGAACCCAAAGCGATGTAAGACAGTTCGGTTCATATCTAATGTGGGTATTACAACATTAAAAGAACATTTTCTTAGTACAAGAAGACCACGAAGGATGCACCTCTACATGCTAGTTATCGTGCAAAGTAGGAGTATGGAATTGCAGAGAACAGTTAAAAAGTGAGGCCATTTCAAAAATGAGTGTTCTCCTATTCCGACTTCCTCAGAGCCATTGTGTTCGATAACACACTTAAGACAACGACAAGTTCTCTGCCCTTCTAGGTCCGACATAAGTTCTTTCCGAAAATTCAAGAAAAGGTCCTGACGAGACAAGTTCATTCATCATTAGGAAAACATTTTTCTTGATCTGGGTGCTTATTAGAAACAACCTTTCTACATCAATACATAAATATGACTCTTAATTTGGCTTCAGCAGACAACTATGCCTTTCAACTTTGAGTGTGCACAAGTAGACACTTAAATTTGTATAAAATTGAACAAGTATCCTACATGACATAATACACGTAGGATGCCATGTAGGATGAATGTGTCCATTTGTTCAATTTATACAAGTTTAAATGTCTACTTGTGCACACTCAAAGTTAAATGTAATAATTGGCGGCTGATGCTAAGTTAAGGATTATGTTTATGTAATATGCCTAAAGTCTGTACGCTCTTATGGGATCACATTAAGTAATGTTATTATATGGATATCAAGTGAAAGTGCAGTAATATAAAGTAAAAAAAAAAAAACAATATTCTTGAATAATGAAAACTCTTCACCAGATTCCTCTTTCCTTTGTTAGTAACTGTTTCTTCTTTTTCAGCTCAGATTGCTGGCAGAAAATTATGAAACAATGATGATATTATTTCATGTCACTATGACAATACTTTTTTCACCTAGCAAAAGTTACACTGACAAAATTTGAAAAAAAAAAACAGAGTTTAAATTAGCTAAAAATCATATATAGAAACTTATCTTGATTGTACATGAAAGGCAATATTTACTATTTGAATGTAGGGTCAGTCAATTGTACATCTACCTTTTTTACATAAAATTATTTGGTTAAGAGCAAATATTTTATTTGAGAATTTGCTTCAATGTTTGGTATTTTAAATCATTCATAAATTAATTGCGTGCTTCTCATTTTTCACTTCGAGTCTCATGGACCACCTAGTTTTTTCTCCTAGCTCTTTATTGCTTTTAAAAATGCTCGTCGTTATATATATTTCGTCTTGACAAAGTGGTGCTCTGACCAATTGAACTACAATCCCAAGAAAATGCAGGATCTAGCAGAAAATTTGATCTTTTTTTTTTTTTTATCTCCGAGTTGGATATTTCTGAAGTACAAAGAGGGTTATATCATCTCATGGTGGATTGGTGAATAATTGGGCCGAGCTGGATTTGAACCAGCGTAGACATATTGCCAACAAATTTACAATCCGTCCCTATTAACTGCTTAGATATCGACTCAGGAAGAATCAATTTTTGACTTATTGGTAATCTAATTGTGACTTATTGGTAATCTAATTGTGACTTATTGGTAATTTAATTTCCGACTTATTTTCATAGTACCCTACCCTTAGGGGAATTCGAATCTTGTTACCTCCTTGAAAGAGAGATGTCCTAAATCACTAGACGATGGGGGCTTGTTTGGCCAATGGTCATCATACTATTTAAAATTGTCAATATAATCAAATGATTCTATCCAAGGGATCCCCCCCCTCAAAATTGCATAGAATAGTTTTTTATTTGTTATTGACAAATTATTAACGCCCTCCTAATAAATTTGGTGTCATTTAAAGTACGACTTGTCATATATATTGGGTTATTTGATATTTTTTCGTTCTCTCCTTTGATTAAGATATTTCTGCCTCATTCAAAAAATATGTATATTAAATCACTAAGAAGTTGGAATGTGTAGTTCAGTTAATCATTTTTGAAAGTGATTTGTATTACTATTATCAATTAGAATAATTCATGATCGACTTGATTAGACTAAAAATTATATTCCTCCGAAATACATTGTGCTTCATAAGTGTAGTGCTTGTACTTTGCGAAAAAAATATTTGTTGATTTGATAGATTGCACTCTTTTCCCTTTTCAAAATATTGCTCCTCTTCATACTTGAATTAAATTACACATATTTAGTTATGATTAAAAAAGGGTGAACCCATCGGCAGCCTCTTAAACTTGGCACTAACTTTCACTTAGACACCTCAAGTAAGCTTTGTTTATTTTGAACACTTTAAGTAGGAGTTCGTTGTGTCATTTTGACACTTTTCGCTGACATGACATAATGAGTGTATAACACTCACTACCAGCGCGTCAGAGCTTTAATTAGCCTTTTTTTTTTCTTTTTTGTCTTGTCCTATTTTCAACTACCATTTTCATAAATTTAAACTCCTTCCATGGTGAAAAGTGTTGACAGACATTTTAGAGTTAAATATATATCTCACTGATTTAAATTTAATAGTCAAATTAGTTTATTATTTGTTTTTAAATCAAGACTCGTTTAAATTATGTGGTTCAAAATCATGATTGAAATTAATACAAACAATTTTGTTGCTTGATAGTTTAACCCTCAGATTCCTGTTAGATCTAATTCTCTCAAAAATTCCTTTTTATCTCTTTCTTAGATTCCATTATGTATTTTATGCTCTAATTAGTCTCTAACTCTCCATGGGAAACGGCACCTGCACTTAAGTTTCCAATGATGATATTGAAGATAAATTTCTTCATTTTGTTTGGTCCTAATTTCCTCAATTTTCTGTTTTTACTCCACTACAGATATAGAATAGGAATTATTTTTCACTCAAATCATTCAAATTCGATCGAATACTTATTTTATAGGGAAGAGGATTTAATATATTTTGAAACTTTAAAGAATAGAGAAAGCTCGGATATGGCGGAGAAGACGAATGGGGTAGGGGTGGATTTGATTTTCGTGGAGAAGACGACTGGTGTTGGCGGGCGGGGGGGGATAGGGGTCAGGGGTGGTTTGGTATTCTGCAAAACACTTCTTTTTAGAAGTTATTAAGTTTTCCTTTTGTAATTATTTGGGAAAAATGCCACGTGTCATCAATTCACTTGTTATCTTTTTGGTTAGACCAAAATTCATTGTTTAAGAATTATTTTGGGGGAAAATGACAAATGTCCTTATTTTATTGGACACTTTACAGGTCACTCGCGAGTGTAACGCACGCACATTATATATTTTTGCTTATTGAAAAAAAAGTGTCAAAATGACATATCAAAACCCTATATGAGGTGCTAAAGTGAACATCCTTCAATTGAGGTGTCTAAGTGAAAAATTGTGCCAAGTTTAGGGGTCAGCGATGGATTTGGCCATTAAAAAAAGAAGAAGATAGAAGTGGTTAGAATAAAATAATCAAAAGTGGATCAAGGACAAAATATCACTTCTTCCATTTCATGATTGAATTGAAAATAGTGAAATGTTAGACTTTTACTTCTTTTTCTTCCAATAATTATACAACAATTTTAATAAACTATTATTGGCTTTTTATAAACCAGGGAGCTTATAACCTTTGCCCTTCGGATGAACACTTTGTCGTAACTTGTTAACTGTGTGATAACTCACAAACTCCACCGGAGATTTAAACCACACTAGACAAGTTTCATGCGATGAGCTCATGACTGAGTATCAGAAGGAGGCTGCATTCGATTCCAGGTCTCCCACATAGGAGACCCACCTCCCAACCACTCGATCAACCATGCTCTTGCGGGAACTGTTATTATTATTATTATTATTATAATATAGTATTTACACATCTACATAAACAATATATCGACATGGTATAAAAGTGTATAATAATGAATTTATCTGACATAAAATTGCAATGTTTGTTTAAAATTTGTCCAAATCTCCACCAAACGGCTTCACATTCCGTAGACAACTTCCTTAGAATATCCAACACTTCTACACAACAAACACTATATATATGATTTTTCTTCAAAAGGGATTTAGAGTTCTGAACCTTCTTGTCTCGACCTGGCTCTGTCCTTCA